TTTCCCTGAGTTCTCGAGCACGGCCACACCCCCTGGCCGCGCGGTCAATCCGCGCCGGCTCCGCGCCCCTCCCTCTCCGCGCGGCCCGCGTCCAGTCCAGCAAAGGTGGTGGCGCCCCGGCGCGTGGGCATGGTGCACGGCAGGGTTTCCCGGCTCTCGGTCCACGACGTGCGCTTCCCCACGTCACTCGGGGGCCACGGCTCGGACGCCATGGTAAGCGCTGTCCGTCCCGGTGCCCTCCCGCCCCGCCGACGCTAGGGCCCCTTAGGCACGGGACTCCCGGAGGGGGCCCCTTGGAAGGTTCCTACCTTTGGAACCATTGCTTTTGTAAGTGGAGAGGCCAAAAAGTGGAGTGAAGGTATCTAGGAACTCCCCATCCTCCTAGGTTTTTTTCTTTTTCTTATTGTTCCTTTCTTTGCTGGCATTTAGTATTTCCTGTTTTTGTATTTATGATTCACATTCTGTTGGAAATGCGAATTGTATTTGCAAAACGATGTTGGGGCGTCCCCAGTGACGCCCTAAAACACGTAGCGAGCTCCTCCACTGTGATGGAACCCAGGAAGCCCCGCGCATGGTGTTTCAGGTGGTGATCCCTGCCTCCCCCCACAACTTGCTTTGTGGCCAGGAGAAGGCCCTTACTGTCTGGACCTCTTGGGCCCATCTGTGAAAGGAAGGAGTCCCAGTCTGGCTGGAAAACCAGATGAACAAACTCAAAGCAGTTGGGTCTTGTGAAACGGCTCTCATGCTCTTTGTTGTTCAGTTGCTCAGTCGTGTCCGCCTCTTTGTGACCCTATGGACTGCAGCATACCAGACTTCCCTGTCCTTCAAGGTCTCCTAGTTTGCTCAAAGTCATGTCCATTGAGTCTGTGATGCCATGAAGTTCCCGGAAAACATTAGTATAGAGAATGTCACCATGAAGAGTTAGGTAGATGTCAGCCTTTGGAGATGCAGTCAAGTGAGCCCTGAAAGGTGTTTTTCTTCCCTGAGAATGTTAGCGGGGTGCTCCACACCCACATCTCCTGCAGTGGCTCCCAAATATGAGTCCTGCCCAGTCCTCCAGTCCTGCCCCCCTCCCCGTGCCCACGCACCATTGGCCACACTGGAAAAACAAAGTTTCCCTGTGTGTAATGAATGTGGGAAGCATCCATGTTAGGGTAGTGGTTACCTGTTACTGGTGGGGAGTTGAGGCGGATTGGTACCCGGGGACTTCAGTTCACACTGCAGTGTTTGCCTCTTGAATGTGGAGGGCACACTGTGTGTGTGCATTACATTCCATGTTCTCTGTGTTCACCTGAAAGGGCCTCCTGTTAAAAAGTGATCAAGTGATTTAAAAGAATGTCCTTTATTCTGAGATTAGGTTATTCCTGATTTTCAAAACCCTTGTGTCCTTTCTCATATGATGTTATGAAGTGAAAGTCGCTCAGTCGTGTCTGATTCTGCAACCCCATGGGCTATGCTACTATCCATGGAGTTCTCCAGGCCAGAATACTGGAGTGGGCAGCCTATCCCTTCTCCAGGGCATCTTCCCAACCCAGGGATCAAACCCAGGTCTCCCTCGTTGCGGGCAGATTCTTTACCAGCCGAGCCACCAGAGAAGCCCAAGAATACTGGAGTGGGTAGCCTATCCCTTCTCCAGCAGATCTTCCCAACCCAGGAATTGAACCAGGGTCTCCTGCATTGCAGGCGACTCTACCAGTTGAGCTACCAGGGAAGCCCATACGATGTTATGGTAAATGACAAAAACCACCCACTGGGCCGTCCTTTGTGAATCTCCAAACATCCGTTTGAAGTTATGCTGACTTGTAAAATTAAAATACCTGATTTAGGGCAACCGCCTCTGCCCACTCTGTGGGATAGCAGCTGTGGGGAAACCACACAATCTCTCCAGGCCTAGTTTTTCTCACCTGTAAAATGAGTATAGCAGGATCTGCTTTATCCATGTAAATGAGATGTGTGTAGACAGTCTGACACAGAGAAGGCTGTCAGTAGGTGTGGCTGTAATTACTGCTTGCTGATGAACTGAAACCTTGACTTTTCTCTTTGAATTTGTAAAGTGTTAAGGTTGCTGGCTTACTGTAGAATAAGAAATGGAATTTGTCTCTGGCCTGAGTGGTTTAGGACTTCTGGGTCAGGAGAGATTATATCTGACACCTGCATTGCACACTCATAAATACTTCTGTATGTTAGCTCCTAGAGATGTGGTGTGTGTTGTGTGCTCATTCCCAAGTGCCTCCATTCTTATTTTATTTATTTTTGGGGCCGCCCCATGGCATAGGGATCTTGGTTCCCTGACCAGGGATCAAACTCGTGTGCCCTGCAGCAGAAGCGCAGAGTCCTAACCACTGGNCAGCCATCCATCAACCAGGCCTTCCATGGATGCCTCCTGTGTGCCCCTGTGTGTTACATGCTCTGCCAGACATCGCAGAAATGACTTTCCAAGGAGAGAAAGGGGACAGAGTCCCATGTACAAGGAACATGAATGCATGAACTTCTCAGGGAGACAGGCGTACAAGAAATGATAGTGCAGTATGAGAAGGACCATTTGTTTTAAAGTGAGTATGAGCTACACGGAAACTGTCCAGGAGTGTCAGGACAGCTTCAGAGCAACGGTGAAGCTTTGTGATGAGCCTTGAAGGGTAACCAGGAATTGGCCAGGCAGATGGAAGCACCTGGGCACTGACTCCCAGACTCCCACCCCCTAAGTCAACCATTTACTGTTGTTTCACCAGGCAGTGACCACTGACCCCTGCAGGCTGGAGAGCTGTGTTTCAGCTTCTCCTGCAATTTTAATTCTCTGGTGTAGGTTGAGCACTTTATGAAGCTCTAACCATAGAGGGCGGTCCCCAAGGTTTGTGCCAAACTCAGCAAGCTTACAAGGTGCGTTCTGGAACAAGCCTTTGGAACCACCTTTAACAGCCAGGACTTGGAGCTGTGCTCACTCGGGCCCGCCGTGAAGGGCCTGTGTTTCCTGGTTACAGGTGTGCTGCTGAGCTCAGGGGTGGGGGCCTCCCGTCCTCCCCACCCCCACTGTCCCTACGGCCACCTCTGGCAGGAGAAATCAATTCTCATCTCTCTGTGCCTGGAACAAATGGCTCTTTTGTGGTGATGGAGTTGGCTTCCGCCTGTTTCAGACCACAGCATGACAGAACCACTTTTAACTGTAACCTCGCTGCATTTTTCAGGTGACTCACTGCCATCTCGCTGAACCATTACATGGTGTTCGAATTAAAGTTGAAAAAAATTCCATTAGCTCATCATGGTTCTTCTGCAGCCTTTATCGGCTTACTTAATTAATCATTCTTTTATAATCTAAGAAAACAGTGCTTTCATTCCAGTGAAGAGAAGGCCTGTATGTGTGAGAGAGGGGGAGGTTATGCTTGATTTTTTTAAGTATAGATGAGACCAATATAGTTTTTGTATAGGAAAAGAAAAAGAGATGGAAAAAGAGAAATTACTAAATAGCCATAAGGGTGCCTGGCTGCTCAGACCCGTGTTCTCTGTAGCCTTTCTGACTTGTCCCTCGTGGGCAGGAGGATCCCAGGAAGTTTTAGGCAGATGTAGTCACAGAAGAGAGCCCTGGCTTCAGTCAACAGTAAGCTGTCTTCAAGGCCCAAGTTTCTCCAGGCAGATTTCCCACTCATCTTTTCAGACACCGGAATCAGACTGACTGCGACCCCATGGACTGTAGCTAGCCAGGCCCCTCTGTCCGTGGGGTTTTCCAGGCAAGAATACTGGATTGGGTTGCCATTTCCTCCTCCAGAGGATCTTCTGGACCCAGGGATTGAACCTGCGTCTTCTGCATTGCAGGTAGTTTCTTTCCCATCTGAGCCACCAGGGAAGCCTGGAGTCCGATCACCACAACCCAGATTTCTATGGAAGTCACCGAATTTTAATAAACTTCTTTCAGTGGACTCGGTCTGAGGGAGGAGAATCCACATCCTCTCGATGAGTGTATCAGTGTTATTTGTGCTTCTGTTGGAGCCAAAAAAGATGGGCTCATCCTCAAGGTTCCTTAAATGCATTTGCTCTGTGACACAAACCAGTCTGTTGTGTAACCCTCTCCTTAGTGAGACGGAGGTTTGACGTAGGTATTGATACAGGTCTCTGTGAGCTGCCGGCTTACTCGTCACGTCTCTAATCCAAGAGCAGCAACCACCAAGGGGTGAGGGGGTTCTCTGTCTTCTCAGAGCTCAAGGGGGTAAACGTCTGAACTGGAATCATTCCGCATCCCAGTAACAAGAGCCCTAGAGAGCACGAAGGTGTGGGGATCAGCCCTAAGTACTCAGTATGAGCATCATCTGAGGCTGTGTCACCCAGAAGCCAAGCGTATCCCGTGAACATGTCAAATACTTTCAAACGTCTTTCTCCTAAGGTCTGTCTAAAGTAAAACTGTGTCTCTGTGACTACCCTATGAAGTGATGTGAGAATTTTAATATTGAAGCAACGGCTATGCCCAACAAGAAGTCAATCAACATTTTTTTATAATAAATTCATTGCTTTGAGGCTAAGTTGATTATTCTGGCCATTTAAACATAGACTGAGAGTGTGTTATAAACTTAGCAAACTGTAGAAGGGTCTTTGCAGTTTTTTGTTTTTTGTTTTTTAACTGATTCTTCATCTGAAATAACACTACAAATTCTTATTTAAGTAGAATACCAAAAATAAGTAATTGATGGTAATACTGACCCAAATGAAGGTTAACCTTCAAATTAATTTAATGTTTATGAAGTTTTTTCATGTTCTTTAACATTTTACATGTAAATATTAAGCTAATTGAAAATTCTTTTCATCTTTAATATAGTTATATTGTGAATTCAAGATATCTTCTATACTTGACAATGATGAAAAGATTTCTAAAAATTCTATAAGTCAGTCTTCTTATTACTTGGGAACAATGAAATAGCAAGATTTTGTTTTGCAGCTGATATATGGGCTCTTTACAAAGTGAATAGGAGAGTGATTTGGGAACATGCTTTAAACTTTCAGGCCTATGGTTCTTTTCATGTGGCAACCAATCAAAATGGATTTGCTCTATTCAGAAATTAAGCTCTGAATATAGGTGAACAACTATTCTGTTTATTAGTTATAACAACCACAGATGACGTATTTGAGGCAATTTTTAAAGGCATGTACCTTTTATATTTAAAATTATCTTCATAAAATGCCCACTTTAGTTTGCGGTACTTGGGTGTCTTAAATTTGTTCACACTAGCACTAAACAAGAATTGTATCCCCTTTCACAGTTGTCTGTGCCGTGAATGCCTTGGCCCCCCACGTGCTGAACAAGGACCTCGGTGACATTGTTGGGGATTTCAGAGGCTTCTACAGGCAGCTCACGAGTGATGGGCAGCTGAGATGGGTAAGGTGTCTTGTTTTGTAAAACTAGTCTGTAAATAACATTCCTGAAGTCTCATGTCCTTTGATTGCAACAACTGTGAAAATAGAGACAGGTTTAAGATATTAAGGTAAACATCTTATTCAGATGAATTAGGGCTTGAACCAGGTGGACAATCAGTATTTTAAGGTAATCTAGTTCTTTCTGTGAGATTTGCCTCTGGATATACTTGGATCCCAAAAGCTATTGCTGCCCTTCCAGACCTCATCTCTGCTCCCTGAATAGAACGAAGTTGGTCTAGACTCCCTGGAATATAAAGTGCCAAATGGGAAACTTTTAAAGGGAGAAATAATATGAGAAGAATTGTGGGAGGAGGTTATTAAGGACAGAAACGTAAGAGAAGAGCAAAAGTTAAGAAGAGAGAGACTAGAGCACCTTTATGTGTGTAGGACTGTATTTGAACCTTAAGTTCAAAGCATGAAAAAAGTGAGATTCTAGAGATAGGATTTTATCATCGTTAGATCAGGGCTTTCCTGCTGGCTCAGTGATAAAGAATCTGACTGCAATGCAAGAGACCTGGGTTCAATCCCAGGTCAGGAAGATCCCTTGGAGAAAGGAATGACAACCCACTCCTGTATTCTTGCCTGGAGAATCCCATGGACAGAAGAGCCTCACGGGCTACAGTCCATGCTGTTGCAAAGAATGAGACACGACTGAGTGACTAATACTTTCACTTTTTCAAGGTCAGTCCAGCAGCTCACACCTTGCCCGTGTCTCCTGACATCAGGTCTGTCTTTTTCTAACTGTTCAGTCTCCTGAGCTCAGAGAAAGGCATGTTGTCCATATTGCCTCGGATTTCATTCTTAACTTCTGCAAACCGAGTGAAACTTCCTTTAAAAGCATCCCCTGGAAGGAGTTCCCATTGGTCGAATCTGGAGCGATTCAGTAAAAGTGGTATTTAACTATATCATAAATATTTAACTGTTGGCATTTTACTTGTTTTCCTTATTTCTGAATCTTGGTACTTGGAATAAAGACTCTTGCTATATCCTTTGCTTTAAGAAAAAAATAATGTGGTAGTCATGGCTGATAAATCATTGAATAACCTAAGAGTCTCAGATTCCATTCAGATAGCAAACAACCAACAAAGGAAAGCTTGTCATTACCACAGAGTACAAACTAATATAACAGGAATGGTAACGTTAGAAAACCACCATATTACAAGCATCATGGCTGTAACTGATCGAGGCGGGAACGATCAGTGGATGCTAAAACTTAGGGGCAATGTTAATCTCCTTCGAAAAGGAAATGGTAACCACACAGTGGAGAAGACTAAAGGATACTAACTTACCCTAGCACTAAAAGATAGTATGTGTGTGCTCAGTCCTATCTGACTCTGAAACCCCGTGGACTGTAGCCCGCCAGGCTCCCCTGTCCATGGGATTCTTCCAGTCAAGGTTACTGGAGTGGGTTGCCATTTCCTCCTCCAGGGGATCTTCCTGACCCAGGGATGGAACCCCCATCTCCTGCATTGATGGGCGGATTCTTTATCATCTGAATCATCAGAGAAGCCCTAAACAATAACAGCCCTGATAACAGCAACAAGAATGCAGTGGCAGCATTGCAGTCTAATCACAATGGGGCTGCAGACAACCCAGCTGGAGGAACACTGTCCTTGAAAATACTGATAATTATTTTTTTAGAAAAGAAAATTTGCTCCAGATAAAAAGAGACTAAAGTGACATGTCAGCTAAATGCCATTTGTGAATAACTGAAAGTACATTATTGAGACAATTGGTGTAATTTGATTATGAACTGTCTTCCTAGATAATAGTGTTCTATCAATATTATATTTCCTGAATTTGATCATTGCACTATGGCTGTGTGAGAGAATGTCCTTGTTTTTAGGAACTATACTCTGAAGTATTTAGAATTAAGGGGGCATGGGATCTACAACTTACTCTCAAGTGACTCAGTAAAATAAATTTTTCTTAGGTATTATATTTTATTTATCTGTGTATATATATGTGGGTGTTTGTGCATGTATATATATGTAAAAACAAAGAGAGAGGAAATACACAGGAGTTCTCTGTACTATTCTTGCAGATCTTCTATAGGTTAGAAACTACTGGAGAAGAGCTTAACCTCCAAGTGAGTTTCTATTCAGTTCAGTTCCGTTGCTCAGTCGTGTCTGACTCTTTGTGACCCCATGGACTGCAGCATGCCAGGCCTCCCTGCCCATCACCAACTGCCAGAGTTTACCCAAACTCAGGTCCATTGAGTCGGTGATGCCATCCATCTCATCCTCTGTCGCCCCCTTCTCCTCCCGCCTTCAATCTTTCCCATCATCAGGGCAGAGCTTCCATTGCTGCCTATTAATTCTTGAAGCGTGTCCCTGGCTAGGAGACCTAAATATCCTTTTCTTTTCTTTTCTAAGAAGTGCTGATGTGTTTTGTTTCCTAACCAGATCGGTGCTGAGAAGGGTGTGGTGCATCTGGCCGCGGCGGCCGTGCTCAGCGCCGCGTGGGCCCCGTGGGCCAAGCAGGAGGGGAAGGTCATCGTTCAGCAGCATCCCTGACGCCGTGGAGCACACAGCGCACGGGGGAACACGACTCCCTCTGCGGGCAAAGGCACGTACAGCAGGCTCCCAGGGGACGCGAGAGTTGTTCCATTGTTTGTCTGCCCAGAGGGATATTGGCAGCAGTTGGGACATCATCGGAGTAAGTTAGAGAGGGCTGAGAAAAGCAGGCAGCAGAGGTGAGGGTCAGCTGGAGCCAGCGGGCTGGGGCGCAGGCAGGCATTAGTCTGATAGCAGGAATTTGCCACTAGCACATTTATTGTCGGAAAACACATGGGTGCCTCACACATGTTTTACAAATCTTTTCTTTTCTCCAAGCCTCTGTGGAAGTTACTTGTTCACATGGTAAGTAAATTCTTTAATACTCTATCTGTTTTCCGTAAATGAAATGGATTTCATGGATTCCTTGCCTTTTGATTATCAGCGGATCCATTCAGCATCGTCTCTGGATCAGTCACTGTCCTGCTGATCAGGCAGCACGCAGTCAGGTCCGGTATTCCTCCTCTGGTGTCTGAGGTGGCAGAGAGCTGTGCCTACGCAGGCAGGGGGGTCTGATGGGTTCCACCTCCTCATTACATGTGTGATCAAAGTCTCAAGCTTCCATTTCCTGACTGTGAAAAGGGAATAATCCTAACTTTTCTAGAAACTCCACAGAATTGGTTTAAAGACTAGTTGAGAAAAGTGCTTCAAACTCTGAAGACCAAGGTGTTATTACTAAGATATTATCTGGTCACTTTGACATCAAATGCAAATGGCAGACCAGACCCTTGAGGAAGGAGCCCAGGGTGAATCCTAAGGATAGGCCTCTGCCGTTTCCTTTCTCCCTGACATGTCAATACCAGGGACAAGCATCTCACTGCTGAGGAGGAAGAAACTGGGCAGGTTAAAGGGAGTGAACATCAGACTCAGGCAGACCTGGCTTTTAGTCTGGCCTCCACCACTTGCTGGCTGTGTGACCTTCGGCATGCCGCTTAACATCTCTGAGCTTCAGCCACCTCGGGGCAATGTCTTGGATGGTCACTGAAAATCTGATGGTTAACAAGGGCCCTTATTATTAGGCCTCATAATTAAGGAGAAACAAAGAACCATGGCCTTGAAGATTGTTGGAGAAAAGTGGAAAGGCTGTCGCATCATTTCTAACACGGTTGCAGCTGGCATGGGGGCATCATCTGAAGGAAAGGGCATGGACCTCTTGGGCCACCTGCAGGCTCTAGGCTGGCCTCTCCAGGGAGGTGCCAGAGGTGGCCCCCAGAATTAAATGATCTGAAGACCACTAGGAGGTAATTAAGATTGCCCCGCTGTGGAGTTTTCATTCTTATGGATCCTGTTCCCTGTTTCAAAGCCAGTGGTCTTAAATGAAGCAGAATCTCCACGTTCAAAGGGCTTTGATGACAGTGAAGGGTCACAGTGGCATAGGTACTGTTGGTCACGGTACAACCTGCTTCCCAACAGACTGACTCAGATTGGTGGGGGGGAGGTCTCAGCCAGAGGCCTGGCTGAGAGTGTGGGCCTCTCCAGGGAGGCCAGAGCGCTGAGGGCAGGAGAGGAGGAGGAGGGAGCTCAAAGGTCCTTTCCTGGACAGAATGAGCCCAGGCCCAGCGTAAGCAGATTCTTAGAACCGAGATCCACTTGTGGACTGACGTGGGCCTTTGCATCCTGCCGTCTCGCCGCCAGGACCCCCAGACGCTGGTGTCCTGCATCGATTTCAGGTACATCACTGACGTCCTGACGGAGGAGGAGGCCTGCGGTGAGTCATCCCCACGCGCTGGGAGCTTCCTGGTCCATTCTGACTGGCAGCCACCAGGCCTAGAGCCTCATTGTCTAAAAGAGTATGATGCTTTTTATTTTTTCCAGAAATTCTGCGGCAAAGTCAAGTCGGGAAAAAAGAGCGAGGTGGGTTGTGAGGAAATTCCCTAGTTATTTTTGCTCTCATTGTGCATCTCTGCAGGTCCCTGTCCTTCACGTGCCCCGCTCCATCCCCCGCAGACAGATGGTTGAGTACGGACGCAGCAGCCTCCAGGGGTGACCTCTTAGGTCAGAGTTCACCTCGGCCACTGCCAGGAGCAGGGCTGGCTTTAGGGTCAAACCACATGACAGGAAGGCTTGGCCAGCAGGGCCTCCTGCAGGGTAACCGGCCCCGGTGTGACATCCTCGGGGCTGGGGGATGAGGATGAACAGGGCAGGCAGAATAGCTGGATTCTCCGCAGGCAGCACTTCAGCCCCAGATGATTCTAAAGCTGGAGGTCCAGCGGGTGCAAACTGTTGAAGATGGTTTTGTTTCCACAGAGGAGCAAATGCTGGCACATGGCTACCCCGCCTACACCACGTCATGCGCCTGGCTGGGCTACCCTGATGCCACGCTGAAGCAGGTAGGCCTCGGAACCGGCTTCTGTAGACAGCAGGAGATGTGACATTTTCCTCTTGGCATTCCTGAATCGTTGTGGGTTCCAGGCCTCATCCTGGATACGTGGACACATTCCACATACAAGGAGAGGTGTTTCCCCGGTGGACGCGGGACTCGGTAGCCTGGCGAGCCCACCTCGACTCTGGACGGGGAAGCTGGCCCCGGGCAGAGGCAGCGGTGTAACCTTGTGTAATGTGACCCCTGAGCGTGCTCTGCCTTGGTTTGCTCACTGCAAGGTGGGAAATGATAGCTGTCTCAGGGGTGGTTTTGACGATTCCAGTGAACACTGCCCTGTGTGATGCTCAAGGACCAGAGGTGGCCCATGGCTAGATCGCTCCCCTTTCTCATCGCCCGCCCTCACCTGCAGCTGACAGAGAAGGGGGACTAGCTTCTGACTGTTACTCTTTCACCGGCTCGGTCTGTGGACACTGCAGACTATCCCAGCTTTAAAAAGAGGGACAGAGATGCTCCATTCCCCCACCAGGGATGCTGTGACAATGAATGAAGTGGTTCCCATAGAGATGAGGAAGGAAAGTCACCAAACAGCCTTGCTCTGTTGGCTAAGCTGTCTGTGCTCTGAATTTCAACAACACATGGTTGTTCTTCTGGTTCATGGTGCGGCCGTAGCATTTGTGAAGCCGAGTCAGAGATGACTGAGACGCCGCTGGATCCAGGGAGGGTATATATTGATGGCTCTGCTCCTTTCCCCACAGCTCTGCAGCGAGGCACTGAAGGACGGCTGGACCAGGTAACTCATTTGGGTGATCGTGAACTTGACTCTGCAGTTGGCAAGTGAGGCCAGTTGTGGAGAGGAGCCAGGAGCCAAGGGCACCAAGGAGGTCAGGATTCGCCAGGAGTAGCCTGGCATGTTGGGACTCAGAAATTTCATCTGAGGCCCTTGGTCCAAAGATAAGATATGAGCCTAGTTAAAATCCTGGAACATCAGAGTCAAAAGAGATCACTGATTTCCAGCTTTATCCAAAAATGAGTCTAGTTAGAATCCTGGCACATCAGAGTGAAATGAGATTATTGATTTCAAGCATTGATCCAGAATAGAAAGCCACTCTTTACTGCAGTACCAAGTGTTGATTCAGCTTCTGTGTGAAAACCTCCAGATGCACTGAGCTTGGTAGGGCATTTGTGTGTAGTTGAAGGGCTCTGAGTGTTAGAAGAGCTTTGATGTAATGAACCCTGGACTCCCTCATACCTTCCAGCCACTGGTCCGAATGATTTTCCTCGGAATTCTCCCAAGAGCCAAGCTCCTCCTCTTCCCCGGGCTGCCACCTCTCCAGGCTATCCCTCTGCACTTCTCATTTGTCCTGCTGTGTGGTTACGGACCCCTGGGCATCCTGGGGTTTCCTCTGGGTTAGCTGTGGTTGTCCGTGGCCACTGCGGCTCATGGTGGACAGTGTGCCTGTGACACGTCACTTGGATTTCTGCATGAGTCTGGCCACCTGCCTCCTGCTGCTCCAAGAGTGGTCTGTGGAGCAGGAGCGCTCCCCAGCCCACTGCAGCTTAATCTACCCACTGGTAGATTAAGGACTAAAAAACGTCTCCAATTAACCTAAAATGCAGAATCTTGAGCCTTAACCCAGACCTGCTGCATCAGAAACTGTATTTTTTGTGTGACTTAAAAAAATTTCAGTGGAGTATAGTTGGTTTACAAAGTTGTTAGTTTCAGGTGTACAACAAAGTGAATCAGTTACACATACACATATATCCACTTTGTTTTGGTTCTTTTCCTATATAGACCATTACAGAATATTGAATCGAGTTCCCTGTGCCATACAGGAGGCCCTTATTAGTTATGTTTTATAAATAGTAGTGTGTATCTGTCAATGCCTGTCTCCCAGTTTATCCCTCCCCCACCCCCTGGCAACCATGTTTGTTTTCTACATCCATGACTCTACTTCTGTTGTATAAATAAGTTCATTTGTAACTTCTTTTAGATTCCACTTATAAGTGATATATTTTTTATCTGACTTCACTCAGTATAACAATCTCTAGGTGCATCCATGTGGCTTCAAATGGTAATTTTTCATTCTTTTCAGTGGCTGGGTAATACTCCACTGTATACATGTACTGTATACATGAGGACTTACCTGGCGGCTCAGACGGTAAAGCGTCTGACTACAATGCGGGAGACCCGGCTTCAATCCCTGGGTTGGGAAGATCTCCTGGAAAAGGAAATGGCAACCCACTCCACTATTCTTGCCTGGAAAATCCCATGGATGGAGGAGCCTGGTGGGCTATAGTCCATGGGGCCGCAGAGTCAGACACGGCTGAGCAACTTCACAGCATACATGTACCAAAAATCTGCACTTTAACAAGATCCCTGGGTGATTTGCATGCCCACAGAACATTAAGAGGCACTGAATTCCTGTTGATTCCTCAGCTAAATAAAGGGCTGGGGAAGTGAGAACTTGATGGAGGCAGCATGGGGCACTGGAAAGATGCTTGGGATACAGTGGATTTGGAATCAACATTGAGCCTTTTCCCCATTCCCTCTGCTGTGTGATCATGGGGAAATTGCTCAATCTCTCTGAACCTTGCTTTTTCTTTAAACTGGGAATAATAGATTTCATGGTTCTCCTCAAAGTTGCTGTTTCTGAAAAGGACTAGCACAGCTGGGGTTGGCAGCAGGTGCTTATAAGTGCCAGCACCTTTCCTCCTGCTGAGTAGCTGGGAGAGGCTGACTCAGTGACCGCTGGGGGTCAGAGAAAGCCCAGGAGAGATCTCTTTGGCCCTTGAGCTCAGAAAGTCTGCTTGGGGCTTCCGCCCAGGATGGAAAGGTCGTCTTCAGTGTTTGGTGCTGAGGGCAGAGGATGTAAGAGGGGCTTTTTGTTGGCACACAGGGTGGGTGTCGTGGAATGTAGGGGACCTCGGGCCATCTAGGCTCCAGAGCAGCAGGTGATGCCCGTGTGCAGGACAGAGCCCGGTGAGCGAGCGGAGAGGAGGCCGGCTCACCCACCACATCTGACCACACCTCTTTTGTTCTTAATTCCCTTCCATGGCACAGCAAAAACCCGTCATGTTATTAAAGTTCTAGTGCTCTGTCCACTCCTGGACTTGAGGTCAGCAGGCCATTTATTATTGCCCTGATACTGAGTAAAGACAGATGCTTACAGGGTTATTTTTGAGTGGCTTGTCTGAACACTGATGGGAAAGGGCAAGAGTTTACTGGAAGACAGGACCTGTAAATTACTGAAACAGTCACTTCTGCAGAAAATCCAAATGTCTTCACTGAGTCAGTGAACAGTTCTAAATTATGAAACGAAATTTATGTTACAGGTTTAAGGTAAAAGTTGGCGCTGATCTCCAGGATGACATCCGTAGATGCCAACTCATCAAAAACATGATTGGACCTGAGAAGACACTGGTAAATACCCTCCCCGGCCGCTGAGAAGCAAGCAGCCTCTTATGAGGCCTCTGCTAAGTCGCTTCTGTCATGTCCAGCTCTTTGCAACCCCGTGGACTATAGCCCACCAGGCTCCTCTGTCCATGGGATTCTCTAGGCAAGAATACTGGAGTGGGTTGCCATTCCCTTCATCTCCTGCATTGGCAGGCAGCTTCTGTACCATTAGTGCCACCTGGAAGCCTCTGGCTGGGGCCAAAACACAAGCTGCTTCAGGCAGAGGTTAAGGAACATTGGGGATTTTAACACTGTATGTCAGAGGTACAGCTTTGAGGTCTTGGAGTAGGCAAATCTTAAAAAAAGCTGAAAACCAACAAACACAAATGAGGGGGGTGGGTAGTTTTTAACAGTTTGATTCTGCAGAACTGTTCAATAAGATCAATTTAGAGATCGTTGCTTTGTGCTAGTGTGGCTGTGCCTGAGCAAACAGGTCTCCCGTTGGTGCCGCAGCGTGTCAATCATTTAATCCCCCTTAACAAATCCGCCCGCTGCCCTTGGGTAGGTGGGCTTCAGGGAGCCACTGCTCAAGAATCTGAAACTTTTGCTGAGATAAATGTAAGGACCAGCCACTCCTGTGTATTTTTATTATGTTTCTTATTACGTGTAAAATATTTTCCTAAAAGAAAGTCACAATAAGATAGTTTTAAATTGTTATGGAAGCATGTTTCATATATTAAAATATAAGTTTGAGTCCTTGACCTAGGATCAAAAGCCCCATTATTTGTATATGAATTAACACCACTTTTGCCTTCTGAGGTCATCCTCATCTAAATAATTTATGACACAGATCGATTCTGGTGTACCACTCAGCACGTTCTACCAGAGAAATCGTCTCTGGGTCTGACTTGGCCAAGCGTGATGATGTCAGAGACAGAGAGGCCCCTTTCTTACCTCTGCACACTCAGCACCTGGCTTCCAGAGGCCCAGACTTGAAATCATCATTTACTTGACTTATTGCAAGTTACTCCTTTGCATGTCAGCTTTCCTGCCTGTAGGATGGGTTAATACGAACTGCCTCATAAGAGTTATTATGACATTAAATGGGACAGGATCCGTAAAATGCCTGGTGCAGTAGGTGCTTAATTAATGATACAGTTTGGGTTATTTATCATGTTAACCAGAGTAGACAATAGCCAGTAAGAGACCATTGAGAACAAACTCAGCGTTAACTGTGAGTGATTCAGAATGTGATGAAACAGTTCCTATAAACTATGAACCTTGCAAGACAAATCTATTTTGGTGGTTTCTAAATGCAGGTTGGGCTTCCCAGGTGGCAAAGTGGTAAAGAATCTACCTGCCAATGCAGGAGACATGGGTTCAATCCTTGGCTCAGGAAGATCCCCTGGAGGAAATGGCAACCACTCCTGTATTCTTGCCTGGGAAATCCCATGGACAGAGGATCCCTGGTGGGCTACGTGGGGTCACAGGGTCAGACACAACTGAGCATACATGCACAAATGCAGATCAGGCTGGAGCTTCAGAGCCAGCCAGCACTCTGGGCCCAGCCCAGGGCACTTCTGGACCTCACAGCAGCTCCCTGAGTGATGCCATCTCCGAGACAGCATGTCAGGCTCATCTTAGCGGCCCCCTTTGTCCGGTTGCATGCTGGGCCCCACAGTCGTGATGCCGAGTGACCGCGAGTAACAGATAGCTCTTCCTCCCTGGGAGTGCTGGGTCAGCAGTGGGCAGGCCTCCCTTCGAAGGGTCTCTTTCCCCTTTCAGATGATGGACGCCAACCAGCGCTGGGACGTGCCCAAGGCCGTGGAGTGGGTGACAAAGCTGGCCGAGTTCAAGCCGCTGTGGATTGAGGAGCCCACCTCCCCTGACGACATTCTGGGACACGCCGCCGTTTCCAAGGTAGAGCGACTGCTGCCGCCAGAGCGGTGGTCTCAGACCCTAGGATTCCTGGGCTTGCTTCCTCTCGCACTGCTGTTTATCCTAGAGAGAGTAATCACTAAAAGTTGAAAGGCTGCCAGCAACCCAGAGGTCACCAGACCTGATCCCTGTACTTCGTAAACACAGAAGTCTGACTGAAGTTCAGATCTCTTACTCACGCAGACTGAAACAAGCGGAGACTCCTCCGGCTGACTCACAAGCGGAGGTTTGCTAAGGTCGAGGCCAGGCGGACCCATAGACGGCTGCCCCTGTTTCCCCTAGAGCCCTTGGACCAGGGCACTTCCTGGTTGAACCAGGGCAGATCCACCTGGACTGGGGGCCCTCTTGGCTTCTCTCCCCTTCAGGTGTCAGAACGCAGTGCACGAGAATATGTGAGAAACAACCTATGTCTCAGGGAGTCTCCTGTTAGCCGGGTTCACAGTACTGACTATGAAGCCAAGTGCCAGGGGGTCACTTACAAGGAAGGAGTTGGGGGAGAGGAACCAGCTGTGGGCTGTGAACCTGTGATGCCATCAGACCCAGGTGGTCCAGGGCCCCCCTTTTACGGCACCTAAAACTTCACACGGCTCCAAAGCAAGGCTCCTTCCTTCTTCAGCTCTAAATAGCTGAAGAGTCCAAAAATATTTTCAAACATTAGGAGTGTCAGTTCAAAAACAGGAAAATGACAACGGGTTGCCTTGCATTCACAGGCACTGGCTCCCTTGGGCATCGGCGTGGCCACAGGAGAACAGGTAGGAGACATCTCCTTGGGGTGGCACACACTGGCACCGCCTGTAGACACTGCACACGAGGCTACGCCACCTGTGTTCTGCAGTGGGAGGTTTTCTTCATCTTAGAAATGGGGTTACTTTACAGCAAGACATGGGCAAGAGTTTGTAGATTCTTTGACAATTCCTGCGACTCTGATCACTGATCTTTTTCAAAGCATCATTGGAATTTACAAGGCAGCAACTTAAAGCTGCAGGGGTGTAGCAGGCACCGATTGATTTTAAGAAAGTCCACCTCGAAACCACTTAAACACACTGTGTTCCCATTCTGTGCTGGTAAACGAGCACAAGCACCTGCCAGAGCCCGCGGCAGACTGCGCGTGAGCGGCGCTGTGCGGGGAGCAGGCTCTCGGCTCTCCTGGCCGAGGAGCAGCGCTCTTCTGCCCTGGCTGTTCTGTCGCCCGGGTCACCTGCTCACCGCGATGCTGCTTCTCCCACTTACCAGTGCCTGCGGCGGTCACGCCCTGATAGATGGTCTTTTATGCGACACACAGGAGGCAGACACACAGTCTTACGGTCTTTTACGCAAGACACACACACATACTTCTGCCAGCAGACTTGTAATGAAGTGAGCAGGAGGTCCCCTTCTGCCTGTCAGGGCTCGCCTCACGGCCAGTGAGGACGAAGAATGAAACAGTCCAGGCTCCCAGGAGGCCACTGCTGAGTGACTTGGAGTGGGCGCGGTGCCAGGTTCATAGACCCTGAAGGCGAGGGCCAACCCTCCTGTTGGTGTGTTTTGATTCTCTTTCCAGTGCCACAACAGAGTGATATTTAAGCAACTCCTGCAGGCGAAAGCCCTGAAGTTTCTGCAGATCGACAGCTGCAGGCTGGGAAGTGTCAACGAGAACCTCTCGGTGTTGCTGATGGCCAAGAAGTTTGAAATAAGGGTGCCATGGGGCTGTGGACCAGGCACCATCTCCCCACACATCACATACCCTGCTTACCTCTGGAGTTGCCATGCTGACTTTTTCCTAACTCAAGCTTCATCAGGGAATCTTTGATGATTTTCAGTCCTAAATATTAATGATATAGTCACCTGCAGACACTAAGAAAAGCCACAGATTCCCCCTTCACACCTCCCCCTCTGCACTCCTCGGCACTCAGCAGCAGTCTGTCTGCACCTCTAGTTCCTGTGTGCCCGCACCTGGGGGGAGTCGGCCTCTGTGAACTGGTGCAGCATCTGATCATGTTTGACTTCATCTCTGTCTCTGCAAGCCTCCAAGACAGGTCAGTGATGCGGCGCTACCGTCAGTACTGCCTCTCGGTCCGACAGGACCCTGGCCACTGGCACATCCTAGGACTCAAAGGCAGTTCAGAGACCCACCACTAAATGTGGTCTTCTTTCTTTTAGAGGGTGGTTTCCTGCTGGCTATTTTCTAGGTACATAAGTTGGGGGGAGAAGCGGGGGCGTTGCAACCAAATGCAAACCCGAAACCCAGCTCTTGTTTCTGACTTTCTAAAGCCTCGCTTTTATCACATACTCTGTGCCTCTGTCCAGTCTCTTTCCAACTCTGGAGTCTGCATCATCTGGCTGCATCTTTTAGTTCCATCTCATTTCTCAACATGCCCCAGATGAGCTTTAAATTAGGACAGTCTCCTTCCAGTCACCTGCATATGGTTTTACTATGCTTTTCTTTCTTCCCAGAATTAAATATTGTACTTCAGACAGATCACTAGGAGGTAGTGAGAGCATGACGACATGCCTGGGAAAGGTGAACATCAAGTTCAGGGCTGAGAAATGAGACCTGGGAGGGTCTACGGGGACTTCTTCTATAAAACAATGGTTGGTTCTTCAGCTGGGTTTTAATACACCTGAGAGATTTTAAACTCTAAAACCCACCACTCTTAGGGTTTTCTGCCTCCCCCATTTCAGTTCCGCAAAGCAGGACCGAGGAGAGGGGTGGGTTTCGACCAACGTTGAGAGGTCCTGCGGGTTTTGAGGGATGAGAAGAAGGCTGAAGGGTTTGCCTAGAAGCATAGGTTATCAGCCACCCCTCAGCTGAGTCCATCTCTCTCAGTGGAGCTCAGCCCTCTGCCCAGCAGCCCATCTAACTGAATGTTTTTTAGTTAGTCTTGTCTCCAGGCCCAACGTCAGGGTTTGGGGTGAAATGGCCCCTGACAAGGCTTCTCTCCCGACAGCCTTTCCCCACTAGCTGGACCTGAAAACAGGCACTCCTTGCCCCCCACCCCCTGCAACAAAACTAAAAACCAGGCACCATCTAGCAAGTTAGCAAAAGATTTTGACTGCACCTATTTTTTAAAATCTACCCCATGGACCCTCCTGTTCAAGAGATCGGGGCTCATTTTCACCAACAGAGGTGGAACTAACAAAGGAAGTGTGATTAGTTAACAAACCCTGAGAAGTAGCAGGGAACCTCTCCCCCATTTCAAACAACCTGCAAACTTACTTTTAAAAATCTTAATTCAGCCAGTTGCCTCTGACTGAGACTTAAAAGCATTTCTTAGAGCAGCAGAAATAAGTAAAATAAATGACTTTTGTTCTGGGAGGTTACTAACAACTCCATTTTTGTCTTTGATAGGATGCTGGTTATTCAACAGAAATGAAGGAGGACTCAGTAAAGAGACACCGCTATCCAGATGGTGAAGTCTGGAAGAAGCTCCTAACTGCTCAAGGGAATTAAGCGCTCAGCTCTGACATGTTTTGCTTTAAGTGAAAAGGCTTAAGATTTCTTGGGTCTGGTTTTACAAAAATAGAAGAAAAAAAAAATCATCCTACCAATCAAGACAAGTTCAGCTAAAAGTCATACTAACCTCAGGGATCAGCTTAGTCATCATTATTACTTTATTCTTTTAGCAGAAAAAATTCTCCTGTGTAGTATTTAAACAAAAATAGCTCCAATTAATTCAAAGTACAGGAAGATGTTCTTAAATTTTCCATCACACGTGTTACCTAGACATTGAGTTGTACTTTGAAAACAAGCAGCATGCTGGAATACTTCCTTAATCTTTTTAAAAACACACTTGTCATAAATTAGTGTAATACAAACAGTGCCGCAGCACTGTGCAATATCTGCTCTGCAACAAAAGTTTAAAACATCACTGATAGCCCTGAGGTGGTTTAGCAGCTTTCTCTTGCTCATTAGAGCCTATTAGAGAATTCACACTGTGCTGAAGCTAATGAGCGTAAAATGGTATCAGGCTGTTTTTATAACCCTTAAAGCCTTTATTCTAGATAATCATTGTTTTTTAATGATAAAGCCAGAATTAGATGAAACACAGAAAAATAGGGTGAACTAGAGCTTAGTCAGCATTTCTAAAATATACCCTATCTAAGCCACATCCAAACCATAACACACAGCACATGTGTGTTTATTTAGGAGGGTTCAGTTAATCTACTTTAGGCAGGAACTACACAGATAAATGATAATACAGAGTTTTAAAAAACATGAATGCAGAACATTTATTGTAGCAAAATAAAACTTTAAACATTCATAACCACACTAAGCATTAACACGACTGATGGGTGTTACCCAGCTTGTTCAAGTAGTTCTATATTATTACTATGAGAACAGCACAGCTCTTAGTTGCCAGTGGCAACATTCTTAAAAGTTAATGGATAAAAACCAGTAGATCACTAACAGGCTTTGACCTAGATCCTTCGCATTTGGAGCCAAGTGAACTTTTACCTAGGTGTAAATATCCTTCAAACAACGCCTTTAAAAGCACTCTAGACAGCCATTTCCATTTTAATAGTTGGGTGAGGATTGTAGCCTTCAATCTGAAAGTCTTCAGCCTTGAAGTCATCGATTTTCTCAACTTTTCGAAGGATTTTGAGCTTGGGGAAAGGCCTTGGTTCTCGCTGAAGCTAAAAACAACATAAGACCATTATTTTACCAGATCCATACGCCCTGCTTTAATTTTTGCTCCCCATGTCCCTTCATGAAACAAATCACAGTATTTTGCCAGGAAAGTATTATTTTGCAGGGGTGACATACTGAAGATACCTCGTCCCTCGTTACTCAGCACTGCTGACCCATTCTCTCACCCCTGTGGAGAGTGAAGGGTGATCAGTGGATCACATGGGGTCAGGAGCCTTGGTGGTTCACTGGCTTTAAGTTCTTAAAGTAAAAAACCCTGCCCTGTTTTTAACAAATTTAAGAAGTAGTTACAGGATGTTTCCTTGAGTCCCATGATGCCTAGCCCAACTGTCCCTGGCAGAAAGGACAAGGAAAGAGGACATGTGTTGACAGCTAACAGGGATGAAGCCAGGACCCCTGGGCTGGACACACAGCAGCAATGGACGTGGACACAGGGCATGCCCCCTCCTCCGTCAGTATAACCGCAGTGTCCGGATGAACCCTGGGGTCACGTTCTCCCAGATCTAACCAGAAGGGGCTAAAAGGTTTCCTGTTCAAGTTTTTCTCCTTTGGAGTTCATTAAGCACAGACACTCCTTTTTTTAAATTGCCACTTAAATCACCCTTTCCTGAAAATAAACTGGCTTAAAGACTTAATAAGACACAACACCATAAAACTCCTAGAAGAGAACATAGGTAAAATATTCTGATATAAATCATACCAACGTTTTCTTATGTCAGTCTCCCAAAGCAATAGAAATAAAAATAAATAAAGGGGACCTAATCTAACTTACAAGCTTTTGCACAGATTGTAAAATGTGCAAAAGGAAACCATAAACAAAACTAAAAGACAATCTACAGAAAATATTTGTAAACAATGCAACTGACAAGGGCTTAATTTCCAAAATATACAAACAGCTCTGTAATACACTCAACAAGAAAAACCCAATTTCAAAATGGGCAGATGACCTAGAGAGACAGCTCTCTAAAGAAGATACAGAGATGGCCCACAGGCACATGAAACTATTCAACATCAATAATTAGAGAAATGCAAATAAAAGCCACAATTAGGTACCACCTCACACCTGTCAAAATGGCCATCATTTAAAAGTATAACAAATGCTGGAGAGGGTGTGGAGAAAAGGGAATCTTTCTAGACTACTGGTGGGAATGTAAACAGATGCAGCCACTGATGAAAACAGTATGTAAAGTTCCTCAGGAAACCAAAAATAGAATTACCATATGACCCAGCAATTCTACTCCTGGGCAGATAAAACTATAATTCAAGGATACATGCACCCCTGTATTCACAGCAGCACTATTCACAATAGCCAAGACAAGGCAACAACCTAAACATCCACCGACGAATGGATAAAGATCAGGTTTGTGTATATGTACATATCTGCACACACGTATATATACAGATTTATATACACACACACACATGTACATACAGAACTGAATACTACTCAGCCATAAAAAAGAATGAAATGCCATTAGCAGCTACATGGATTGACCCAGAGATCATACTAAGCAAAGTCAGAAGGACAAATACCATATGATATCACTTAAGTGAGGGATCTAACATATGATACAAATGAACCTATCCCTGAAACAGAAACAGGATCATGGACAGAGAACAGAATGGTGGCTGCCAAGGGGAAGGGGAGTGGGGGGCTGGGATTAGCAGGTACAAACTGGTTTAGATTAAATGGGTAAACAAGGACCTACTGATTCACATAGGAACTAGATTCAGTATCCTAGGACACACCATAATGGGCAAGAATATATACACGTGCAGTACCTCACAGCACCTGTCACGTTCAGTGTCTGTGGCCACTGAGGCCCATCTGCCTGGTCCCTGCCTGTCCACCACCATCCACAAACCTGGAAGCCTGTCCTCTTAGCTCCATCAGAGCCTGGAGGAGAACATCTTTTACAGGAGGGATGCCTCCCACATGGACAAGGTCTCAAGAGAAGGTATCAAACCCCAAAGTATGACAGGTACATTTCTTACCTGAGTTTTCAGCGGCTCGATGTGATTCAGGTAAACATGTGCATCTCCCAGAGTGTGTACAAAGTCACCTGGCTAAACCCCACAGAAGAAAGTGAAACTGTTAAGGCTTTATTTTAGTTTGAGTTCCTTTGCAACCCATCATGTAAAAACACATGAGCAGGCAGACAGCCCAGAGCTCTTCACAAGGAAATTTAACCAGTGTCGCTTTTGAGGAAAGTTGATCCAAAGTCATAACAACCTATCCAACCCCACACGTTTATACAGAGCAATGACAGAACTGCTCCAAGGAAGTCAGAGTGAGCAGTTCATTCACTTACACCGATCACATCTAAAAACTACAAAGAGCCAGAATTCTCAGCCATCAGTTCTCCCACGTGACAGGACCTCACAGCCCAGCGTTCTAGGCTGGTCCCCCCTCCACCCCACCCAGAGCAGCCCACCTTCAGGTCCGTGATGTGTGCGATCATGTAGGTGAGCAGGGCATAGCTGGCGATGTTGAAGGGCACACCCAGGCCCATGTCTCCCGACCGTTGGTACAACTGGCAGGACAGCTCCCCATTCACCACGTAGAACTGACAGAGGGCGTGGCACGGGGGGAGGGCCATGAGAGGGAGATCTGAGGGGCCAACACGGGAAAGTCAGGAGAGGAGGCGGTTTTTAAGGAACATAGCTCTAAGCAAAGCAAAAAGCAGAAGAAGCCAGCTGTTACAGCAGAGATGGTGAGAAGAGCCACTGGACCAGCGTGCATAGCTGGCGATGTTGAAGGGCACACCCAGGCCCATGTCTCCCGACCGTTGGTACAACTGGCAGGACAGCTCCCCATTCACCACGTAGAACTGGCAGAGGGCGTGGCATGGGGGGAGGGCCATGAGAGGGAGATCTGAGGGGCCAACACGGGAAAGTCAGGAGAGGAGGCGGTTTTTAAGGAACACAGCTCTAAGCAAAGCAAAAAGCAGAAGAAGCCAGCTGTTACAGCAGAGATGGTGAGAAGAGCCACTGGACCAGCGACTCCCACGAACCATTCCCACCCCAGGGATGGCATAAGACCGACAGAGACCTGTCCATCACCGTGAGGCCTCTGTGGGTGCGCGCTGACTGTTAAGGCGCACCCTTAACACCCGTTCTCATCCGAGCTGAAGTGAATCACTTGGGCCACCTCCATGGCACCAAGCCAGAAGTACAGGGGGAATGAATTCATTTGCAGGGACCATGAGAGACTGGCGACTCAGGCACACCCTCCTGTATTCAAATTGCTATCATTAATGCAAAAATTCCACTCAGGCTATTTACTACACCTCGGGAGAGCTTAGTTTTACAATTGTTTAAAAGGTTCATAATAGGTGGAGGTGATCTAAAATTCCAACTGTCCCAATTTAAAATGTTAAATTTTCATGTGTATTTTTATAATTAAAGCCCGTAAACACAAATTAATTTCATCTGGGCCCAAGCTTGCTCTCTGAAGGTAGATAAAAATGGGGCCACTTGGGACATGGCCAGGGTCACGCGAGCAGCTGTGCAGCCGGGGACCGTTCCCAGGACCACCTCCAACCCGGTGCCTCTGCTCAAGGCTCAGTTAGGACACGGGAGGATGGCTGGGGCGCCGTCTACCTTTTGGATTCCAAGCACACAGGATGATTCTTCTGTCATTAGGGTTGGTTTTGATTGTGTCGATCACTTTTTGCAGTTGATCTACTCCTTGACCTGAATAATCTGCAGAATTGGCAAAAACAAGAGACCACCACACATGTGAACCATGGCATCCTGGGAGAGGGCCCCAGGTCACCGAGCACACTGTCCTCCCCCCAGGGCCCCCAGCCCAGTCACACGATAGCCAGTGAACAGTACTGATGTCTCATATTTTGCTGGGTTATGTTGAGTCTGGGCTCCTAGGTCTGTCCTCTGGAGCCGTAAGAAGTCTATTTTCCCACTACTTAAGAGACTTTTAAATACTTGGCCATGGTGTCCCTCCTCCCCCTTCCCCTATTGCTAAACCTCCTTCATCCTCAACAATCAGTTTCTTCCAGCGGTCCCCCTGGGGTATCGTGTCTGTACCATCAACTATTCTTGTCCCACTTCACTGCCAGGCAGGGCTGGGTCTGCGGTAGAATATTTCCTACCCTACATGGTCCAACAACAGACGATGAGGATTCCTTTTTGTCATCTAGATACTAGCTTTCCAACACTCCCAATGAAAACTACAATTTAACAGCTAAACAGCTACTGACCTGTAAACATCAGGAAACCTATTATATACCACCCTGTACTTTTCTCCCATGTCTGGTCTCTGAACTTGCCTCCTTCTGGAGTGAACTGGAAGCTGAGATGTGCAAAGCCTCCCACCTCTATGATTAAACATCTACTAGGTGGAGTCAGACTACGTTTGAGTCCAGGAGTTCTGAATTTGGGGGAAGAAAGCCCTGTCACTATCACAGTTCCAGAAAAGATTTTTAAAAAGATGACCTCTAATGGAACAGTTCTGTATCTTGATTGTGCTGATGGCTACATAAATCTCCATGGGCTAAAACTGCATACAAATTTGCAAAGGTGGAGAGATCTGTTAAGTGCTGTGGGTTTTACCAACATTAATTTATGTGAGAGGCGGTGCCACCAAGTGACAGAGGAGGGTGGGTGTCCAGGAGTGAGATGTTTTGTCTCCACCCCAGCAGGGTGGGGAGGAGAGGGCGACGAAGACGGGTGCTGTCACATTAGCACCACCGGCAGCGTGCTGGGTGGTTCGGTCTTGAAAAGGGAGATCAAGGTGACCACAGGGCAGTCAGTCCCTGGGACTCATCCCAGATGAACTTCCAACCTGCCTCCAACACAGCGACCGAGCACCCACCAGGTCACTGTCTGCTGATGAACAAGGTACGGAAGGTGCCCAGACCCACAAGTGCTGACCACATGGTGTGTGACCCTCCCCTCCCCCTGGATCCAAAACAGCCCCTCACAAGGTCCAAGTTATATATCCACTTCCCCATCATCAGCTTCCTATCCCCCGGGATTCACTTGCAGCCACAGAAAAAACCCAGGCTGTGAGAGGCACTCAGGAAACCCAAGCCCCCACTGCCCCCTCAGCTCCTCACCTGAATCCATATCTTTGTATTCAGCCCCAAAATGCCTCCACTGGAAGCCATAAACTGGGCCTAAATCCCCTTCAGCTCTGTTGGAGAAGCCCAGGCTGTCAAGGAAGTCTCGGGACCCGTTGGCATCCCAAATTTTCACTCCCTTGGAAGACAGTTCCTTAGCGTTGGTGGATCCCTGTAAGAGACGCGGCATCGGGTGAATGCCAAGCCCACCACAAGTGGGCCTGTGCTGACAGACGGGGGCAGCACCTGACGGGCCCCATCACTGGGCAGGCTGGTCCCAGCCCAGACTTTCCAAAGACCCCCGGAGAGTCTGATCCTTCTTTGCAATCACTCCCTCAAATCTTTTTTCCTATTCTCCTCAACCAAGACTTCTAAACACCTCCAAGTCCTTTCATTGCTCCCATCTAACCGTTCTGTTTCTTAACTAAATGTGTCCTGTGACTAAGTGTGACACCCCAGAATGAATCTACTCCACAACTGCAATGTGTTTGGTGTATCTTAGACCTGTTATATAGATGTTTCCACTGATAGGCCTGATTAGTATTATAGCTTTCCTGTCAAATATGTCAGTCATATAAAGTACCACTATCAAGTTACGTTTATCAACAACCTGTACTTGCAAAGTTAAGGTGTGGGTTCTTGGTGGGTTTTTGTTTTTTTCTTGGTGCCAAGTATAAGCTTTATGTTCCTCTTATGTATTTCATCTCATTAGAGTTGGCCCACGTATCCTGATGGTGCATCCAGGTCAAGACCCCATTTGGCCTCTGGGCAGGATGTGCTGTAATGGTCACAAGCAGGCAGTGAGGCCACACACCTGGGCACTAGGCCTGCTGTCTCCTCGCTTCTCCTCTGACCAGCTCCCTGACCCCTCCAGCCTCAGCATCTGCACCCAAGAAAGAGCATAGTAGCAATCACCACCCACATTACTGGGAGGAGAAGATAATACAAGCAAACGCTTGGCACTCAACGGATACGAACCAAGGCACAGACTGCATCTCCCCATCTTGCCCAAAGAGCCCAGCTGAAGTGTAGGTACACCGACTCCTCTCCCTTGAGTCATCTGTGGAGTGACTATCAGAGGCGGGTCTGCTGTCTTCCTGGTGAGGACTCACTGGAATCCCGCACTCCAGCTTTATGATCAAACAAGCGCATGACCTCTATTTCTGAGCATCTCAGTTCCTCCCTTTCTGTCGTTTATATTAATTATTTTCACTTCCAATGACTCATTTCTTGATCACTCATGTTGCTTCAAAAGTCTCCCTCCCCATCCATTCAGCCTGGGCTCTAGCTTGTCTGCAAACATCCTCTTCTGAGATCTGTATCCAAACCTAAACCTTTCCGAAAATGCGTTGAGGTCTTGGGCCTGCTTTGGCCCAAGACAATACAAGCCACAGAAGGAAGCCCAACCTTGAGCCCAGCCCAGAAGAGAGCCCATCTCTTTAGGCACCCTGTGAGCAGTGTTGGCCAGAGTCTCAGACCAGTGAGATAAAGGGGAGATAAAGATGAGATGAAGGGGAAACCCAGGTGTGGCTGCTGCCCACCATCACCACACTCAGCTTATTACTTAAGAGCCTCTTCTGGCTTATCCCCCAGGAGAGCATGGCTGGGATCTATATTCAGTGGGCAATCTCTGTGAGTGCCTACTATGTGGCAGGCCGTGTTCCAGGGGACACAACAGCAGACAAGAGAAATTCTCTGCCCTCATGGAGCTTATAGTACTTTTCTAATGTCAAAAAATTTTTATTTTAAATAAAAATTTTCTAAATGATAGTATTTTATTCATTTGTCTGCCTTCTCCCTTGAAGGGGGTAAAAGGGGAAGACCTTATACATAAAATGAGGCTTCTCTAGAGAAAACACAAAGGAGGGGTGGGGGTAATCACAGTTTTAGATCGGAGGCAGGGAAAACTCACTGAGTAGAGAGTTGAAGGTGAGGGTGCTACATGGGGGTGGGGATTCCAGGGAGCAGGAGCAGTGAGTACCCAGCCCAAATGGGGATGTCCTGGTGTGCCTAAAAATCAGCAAGGAGGCTAGGGTGAGAGGAGCAGAGCAAGCGTTGACTCTGGCTGAGGCCAGAGCGGAGATAGAACTGTAAGGACCTTGAATAAAATAGGAGCCACTAAGGACTTTAGGCCAAGGCGTGACATTATGCGCTTTTAAAAGGATTTTGCTGGTGCCGTACTGACAACAGATTATTGACTTCCAATAGCAGCAACTTCTTTACCTTGATAAACCACAGCAACTCCTCCAAAACACCTTTCCAGAAAACACGTTTGGTTGTCAGCAGAGGAAATTCATCTGGAAAATAGTTTGTCATGTAATTTCAAGATGAGAAGACAGAACATGCCATCCAACTTTTTCTGTAAAAAGAGAGGACATGCCCCAGGACAGAAGGCCTGGGAAGTGACTGCAGGGGAGCTGGAAACCTGTGACTTCTGCCACGTGGGCACCTCCGGATCAGAGCGGGGTTCCCAAGGCTGCAGCCCCAAGTCAGTGACACACTTCAGGTGAGATCACCCTCCTGCGCCCCTTGACCACCAGACACAGGACTGTCACACAGAGAGATGGGGCAGGGGCCGGGCCGGGAGGCCCATGTGGACAGGGAAAGAGCCAGCAGCCACTACCCAGTCAGTGCGAGCCCTTCCCAGAGGTGTGAAGACAACACACAGAATGTGCCCTAGGACACAGCCCGAAGGCTGCTATTCCGCAATTATCCTGCCAGGGAGAACGGGCTCACCACCAGGTAACAGTAGATACTGCCCTGCCTAAAAGTGAATAGTTCTTAAATATGTGCAAAGAAAATTAACCTTTATTTATATATTTTAAAAACTTTCCTGTTTCCTTTTTGAACTTTTCATTTTGTATCAGGGTATAGCCAACGAACAATGTTGTGATAGTTGTTTCAGATGAACAGCAAAGGGATTCAGACATACACATGTCCATTCTCCCCAAGCTTCCCTCACATCCAGGCTGCTCCGTAACATATAACAGATCCTTGTTGGTTATCCATTTTATAGATTTATTTTTGACCACACCGAGAGGCACGCGGGGCATCCTAGTTCCCCCTATAATGGCTGAACCCATGCCCCCTGCAGTGTATGGTGTCTTAAACACTGAGCCCCAGGGTTATTTTTTAACTGAACTAAAAATAGTTAACTGCTTAAACACCTGATATACACAATCCTATCTGATCCTCAATACAATCCTGCTTGAGGCTCCATTATGATCTCCATTTTACAGGCACCACGAGGTGGTAAGTCTGCATCAAACAGTTGAGAAAAATGTAAAAGCTTATCTCTAAATTCAGTACCTATTCAGCCAACTGTCCAGGTGATAGTCATGTAAGAAGGGCAGAGTCTTCAAGCACCTACATTGCCTCCATTTGGGGGATCATTTCCTCCATTTGGAGCACCTGGGGAAGCTGAAGATGGGCGAAGATAACCAACAGTGCCCAAGTCTAAGCAGAGAGGCTGGAGTGAAAATGATGTCTGTGGCTCACGGGAGGCCACCACGCAGGAGCTGCAGGAAGGAGGATCCCTCTACTCAAGATCAAACTCCCCAAGCTGTCCAAGCCCATCTGGTCACTGCAGCTCTGGATTTTTCAGTCTCTGCAACAGGTGTGTGGCAGAGGGTTTCTACCCTGACTTGGGTGCACCTCTTCAACAGCTGGCTCCCCACTCACAACCACCCTCCACACCTGTTTCACGGACCTTTGTCTGAGGCCGACCCCGATCCCACCTCTTTGTCCCCGGAGAGCCTGGCACTAACAACTTCCAAGGCACATTTCTCCCCAGGAAAGTGAAAGTCGCTCAGTCGTGTCCGACTCTTTGAGACCCCATGGACTATATATACTATGGTCCATGGAACTCTCCAGGCCAGAATACAGGACTGGGTAACCGTTCCTTTCTCCAGGGCATCTTTCCAACCCAGGGATCGAACCCAGGNCTCTGCCCACCGCAGCTCCGCACGCACCGGGCCCGCCCGCCCCCGTGACGCGGCCGCCTCACCTCTCAGGTTGTACCGCGCCTGCATCCCGAACACCGACAGGGTGCCGGTGCCGGTGCGGTCATCTTTCCGGAAACCGCAGCGGAGGATGTGCTCGATCTGCCCTAGGTACTGCAGCTCCCCGTGCGGCGGCGGCGGCCGCGGCTCGGCGCCCTGCTCCTGCGAGGCGGGCGGCGACGGCGGGCGTGGCGGCTCGGAGCCGGCGGCTGGCATAGTTCTGGCCGCTGGCGCTGCGGCGAGGGCCGGACGGCAGCAAGCACGGCCTCCCGGCGCTATCCTGGAGTGTATTTTCCCGCCACAGCGGAAGACTCCGCCCCTTCCGGTGACGCTTCAGTGGCGTAGGCCCCACCCGATCCCGCGAGAAAGGGCCCGTCGTGTCCCGAGAGCTCAAGGGGCCTCGGGATAAGAACGCTCTCGCTTTCGTCAATGGCTTGTATTCGATGTTAAAAGAGAAACCGTTTGGCCTAGAAAGAAATTCTAAAGCTGTTATCTTGGTGTGATGCCTGAGAAAAGCCACTCTCGTTGGAAAGACTCGGGGTCGACCGCGCCTTTACGTGGTCAAAGGAAACCTGGAACAATTTCCAAGTGTTCGTAAAATCGAAGACCAAAACCCTATTTGAGATGTTTCCTACAACTGAGGGGGACTCCTGCAAGTGATTTGCATTTCTGTTTTCCCGCATCCTCACTCAAGGCCAGCAGCTGGAGCAAATGGATTAAGGCAGCTTTTTAACTTAATGACAGCCAGCCCTTTTCAGTTTTGCATACCAAATTTTTCAATATTAGTGAAATGTTTATAATATAAACACTGATGGGTATAAAATATTTGATAATGCCTTTAAAAGGTACTAATACATATACATGCAACAGCAGTCTTGAGTCAGCTGTGTCCTGAGGGTATAGTAGATGGTCAATAAATTTCTTGTTGCTGCATCTGGGGTTAGGAAGAATGAGATGTGGGCTCTGTATGAAACATGCTAAACACTGTTTCTTTCCATTCAGTAAAGTCGGTGGTTTTTCTTTTTTCTTCCTCCTCCTATCTCAGTTTTATTGATGGACAGTAGAAATAGACAAGCAAGATTATTGAATCTTTCTGCTATAGGGCACTTCTCAAACTCAAGGTTAAATGTTTTGTAAGAGGAAAACATTCTGGGAAGACTAATATTTTTCACCTGCAGGTCTGCCTAATCTGCTCAGCAAAAACAGTGTTGCACTTTTTTTTTGTTTTTTTCCTTTGGTCTGTGCCTCTGGCTTGAGATCTCAGTTCCTCAACCAGGGTAGGAAGCTGCCACAGCAATAAAAGCCTGGAATCCTAACCACTAAGCCTCTAGGGGACTCTCAGCATTTGTGTCTTTACAGGGCACAAAACCTATATAAAATAAATACAATCCTGAAGACAATTTTCAAAATAGCTGGCCATTTGGGTTAATCAGAGGGAAAAGCAAGCACTAAGACTAGACTAAGGGAGTTTCAGGGAACATTTCGGGAGCCTCAGATTTGGAATATTCTTGCTTATTTGGTTGTATGATTGCTCACAAAGGGTAAACTGTAATGCACAGGGAGCAGCTGTTTTAAATAATTTAATCTATTAAATCTATTTAATCCATCACCTGATAGGCTGGCTTTTCCTCTGTCAACTAAATTCATTCTTCCTCCCTCGCCCCAGCACCTTCCCCATCCCACCCTGCCACGCCCACTCAGTGTAACCATAGTATTAAAGTCACCTGTAACTGCTTTGGGGCTGATGGTTCTGGGTTGTGCTGTTCGGATGGGATGGATGTGGTTGTGCTATCTCCAGATACCATGGGCTTTCTTTCTGATGGTCATTTGGGAAGAGAAGGCTCTGTTGAAAACTTGATCTCAGAAAACAGGCTTCAGACAGGGACAGGGACTCATGTTGTCTGCCTTAGCTTGAAAGCGCCCCTTGGTGTTAGAAGCTAACATGAGGTGCAAAGGCACAGTCTTCCAGCAAGAGATGGTCCTTGTCAATTAATGCAGGACTGTTGATACTGGTGCGGGGCCAACCAAAGGCAGGCATTCTCCCCACCCCACACTGACCCAAAATGTCTCCATACACTTCCAACCATGTTCAGACAGGAAATCTCCCAGATTGTCTGGTTGCAGTTACTCTTATGTGTTTACTTCCTTTCTGTTATTTTGAGCTGTTTAGTTGCTCCCTGGAGAAGGGAATGGCAACCCACTCCAGTATTCTTGCCTGGAGAAGCCCATGGACAGAGGAGCCTGGTGGGCTAAACACGACTGAGGGACTAAACTTTAGTTGCTCGAATGGAATGTCACTTACACCGCAGGGTGAATCTCAGTATACAAGCTTAGACTCCCCGGCCCGCAAGGAGGTTCCTCTTCCATTGAGTTGCTCGGAGGATCTTCGTTTGATGATAACTGAGAGCCTGATTTCTTTACTGGTGGATGCTCCCCAAATGAGTGATCCTCTCATACAAGCAGATCATTCTTTCATCCAACAGCATTTATAGCACAGTGCCTCCCAGGCATCTCCAAGACAGACAGATTTCCTGGCACAAGAACTGACACCCTAGCCCAGAGGAGCAGTGGGAAGCCCCTGAACAAGACACCTGCAGGGAGTGACGGGTGCGATTGTATAACCGGGTTCAGAAGGACTACTTTTGATGGCACCATCAGGAGAGGTCTCCTTGAGGAGGGTCACGTTTGAGCTGAGACCTGAAAACTGAAACGAAACCAGCAGGGGAAGATCTGGGGAGAGAACAGCTCAACTTTAAATGCATTATACCCTCAGCTTTACTCAGCGCTTGCATCTATAAAAACACAAAACAAGGATGATAGCGATGCTGAATCCTATCTCATTCTTGGAAGAAATAATCATTATTAATAGATCCATTAACTTACTGGGAGAAAAAAAGCTCTTCTCATCAAGGGATCTATTTCTCTTAAAAATTTCACTGTGTTTAATAGACATAGAAATGTGTAATGTTTATTTTGATCAATTATGTACATTATAAATTATATGTATATATAACTCAATCCAGAATGAATATTTGATACCTAGATTTTTGTGTCCCAGGACATTTTAAAATATTTTCAAATTTTAAAAATATTTACCTTGTATTGATCAATAAAGTTGTTTAAGCATAAACATATATTACATTAGAATAAAATTCTCTGAATAAAATAGAAAATGAGAGTTTAAGGAGAAAATGAAATGAGATAAAATTTCTTACTGTTAAAGAAAAAATTGTATATTTGTTTAAATGCATGATTCTGGGTATCAAATTGCCATGATTTATAGATTCCATTGGGCACATTTAAAAGAAGGATGAGTTTTATTTTTAAGATGCTAATATTTATAATACATGGGAAAATAAAATTTCCTATTCTTTCAACTTTTACTGAAAAATTATGTGACACAGCATATATATATTTTTCAGGTTCATTTTAGGGTATATGAGAGCAAGAACATTTGAATATTATTGACCTGGATACTGGTTCTTCTTTGTAGGGTAAACTCTCAAAAATGTTGGCACACCTAGACAAAGGAAAGTAGAAAACTTAAATTTTTAAGAGCCAACTATGGATCAGGTATTAAGTAATAATAGTATTCCTGGTGGCTCAGATGGTAAAGAATCTGCCTGCAATGTGGAAGACCCAGGTTCAATCCCTAGGTCAGGAAGACCTCCTGGAGAAGGGCACGGCAACTCACTCCAGTATTCTTGCCTGGAGAATTCCATGGACAGAGGAGCCTGGCGGGCTACAGTCTGTGGGGCTGCAAAGAGTCAAATAAAACTTAGTGACTTAGTCACCACCACCGCCACCAACTGATGCTTATTATTATGACTCATTGTAGTTCTCTGGTCTACTCAATAAAGAAAAAACTTTATGGTTATCATTTCATAGATAAAACCACTGAGGTTTAGAGAGACTAAGGGTCTTGCCTAGTCAAACACCTAGAAAATCTGGCAGCCAGGATTAAAATCCAGGTCAGCCTGCACGCAAAGGCTTTCTCTGACAGCTGCAGTGAGTCCAGTATTCCCCTTTCCTTTCTTCACTCTACAAATTTTTTATAAACATTGGCTATAAATAGTCAGATTCCCTTTGTAACTTGTTTTTTTGGCACCTTTTTTTGACAAATATATCAAATATATGACTGAGTAGACTCTATTTACTTGAGATTTACATTAAGCTATCCAGAGTTCTATCAATAGTATACTTTCTTCTATAGCCTTCAGATATAAGAAGAGCTTTACCTTCATTTGAAATTGACTATGTTCAATGGGCTGCCTTTGAACTTTAAGTCTACCTGATGAGACTTCCTACCAAATACCTCAAGACTGGGTGAAAAAAAAATGTTCTAAAGGTTTTGAGTCCTCTCTTTAAATATATTGCTCTCTATAATTTGAAGGACTGACTATATATAGTCTATGTATAGAGTGACTGACTTTATATATCCCTGGGATAATCCCTGGTGACACAAACTGACAAATGAACCTCTTCTCATATTGCACCAAGGTCCAGATTCTGAGGTTAAGTAAGTGTCAGCCAAAAACTGTGTTTTACATACAGTATGTATGGCCTTGTTAAAAGACAGCACTGATCTGTTAATTTGTATAAGAATCTAAACAGTATACCCACATGCATGGCAGCACTCTTCACATTGGGCCAAGACAGGGAAGCCACCCAAAAGTCCATCTCCAGATGAATGGATAAACAAAATGTGATACACGGTGTATAACAGAGTAGTATTCAGCCTTAAAGAGGAAAGAAATTCCAGCACATGCTACCAGATGGGTTCAACCTTGGAGACATTAACACTAAGTGAAATCAGCTAGTTGCAAAAGGACAAATACTGTATGATTCTACTTCATGGAATCATACCTAGAGTAGTAAGATTCATAGAGACAGAATGGTGGTTGTCAGGGTCTGGGGAATGGCAGTTAGTGTTTAATGGGGACAGAGTTTCAGTTTGGGAAGATGAAAAAAGTCCAGGAAATGGATGATGGTGATGGCTGCACAACAATATGAATTTCCTTAATGCCACTGAACTATGCACTTAAAAATGATTCAAATAGTAAATTTTGTTATGCATATTTTACCATAAAAAACTATAGAGAAACTATAGATCTTTACTAAACAAAGGAATGAATTACAGATTTTTTTCAATAAATCAAATATTATATATTGTAAACTCAAAAGCAAATTGAAAGAAAAATTCTCTGTTAATTAGAAAGTGACATATTTGGAGTAGAAGAGATAGAACACAGACGCCCTGGTGATTTAATATTTAATATACAAACTGAATATATCATAAATACAGTGATATTTACATC